CTGACAAATTGCTTGCAAAATTAGAAAACTGGAAAGTACACAAGTCATTGTCATAAATTTGACATTTAATATAATATTAAAATTTATGTATAACAAACTGAACTATTTATCTGCTCACGAAATTTAACAAATAGAAATTTAAAAAATTTCTGACATGCACTTTTATAAAATTGTTATTGAAAATATTGAAGAATGTGTAACATTGAAGAAACATTTAAACAATGATGAAAATAAAAATATAGTTGTAAGCAATTTACTAGCTCCTTGCCCTACCTCAACAGTGATATATCATTGCAAATACAGTCAAAAGTCGTTAATCCGGACTCGTCGGGACTTCGGCGATTCCGGATTATAGATAATCAGTTTAAATCTCGTAAGATGGCATGCAGAAATTCTAAAATTAAAAATATGGAACTGTAATTTATGAAATAAATAATAAAGAACATTATGATCTAAAGGGTATCAAAATTTACAAAAAAAAAAAAGCTTAATATTTATTTGTTTACTTTATTAAACATTTCTCTCAATGTAAGTTGTTTAAGTTGCTTCATTTTATGTGATAATACTTTCTCGTTAATTCTATAAAAAGACATAATTTCTTGTTCAGTTACAAAGTTCCGCTGTTCAAGTCCCGTTAATTGCTGTGCCGAGAATACCGACTAACTTGTCAATCGAAATTTTTTCGTTTTCACTAATCTCTCTGTCACATTCTTCATGTCTTTATCCATTTTTTGCAGCAATTCCACTTTTTGTTTGTTGGACATCGAAACATACTTTCGTTTTGTAGATCCTTTGGAAGTTCCAGCATCGGAAATTCTATTTGACATAATCGAAAGTTTCAAGTTACTTTTATAAAAAATTGCTCTTACAGTCTGCAAAAAATAATAAAGCGGGATCCAATTCGAAGATTAAGGAACAATGCAATCATTAACATTAACTGAAATAGATAATTAGATCATTTTAGCTTACACCGTCCGTTATACATTAAACGCGCAGGCGAAAACGTATTCTGCAGTTGCGCACTTGCATATGCGCAGTAGTCAAGGTCTTACACGCACGCGTAAAACGCCTGTGCGCATGTGCCAACACAGCACATGCACAGAAAGTTTTTAGCTTTGAGGTCCGGATTATGGGTGTCCGAATTAACGACTTTTGACTGTATTCTAAAATACTGTTGTCATAAATTTTATATCTGAATGATTGTTTTCTTGCTTTTGACAAATTATTTACGACCAACAAGATCTGAAGGAAGAATAAACAAATAAGAAATCTTGACAATAAAACATGATATACTCAATATTTATTTTAATGACTTAACAGAAGTATAATACAAAATAGAAAATAAATGCTAATGTACTAACGGTATAATTTCATCTTTTGTAGCAAATAATTTGCACATTAATTATCAAAAACTAAACTAGAAACTGCATATTGGCTTCCTATCATTTTATTGCACTTTTTTTTATTTTGAATTATTTCCTGTACCTTTATACATTTGAACTGTAGTATAAATCATAAATACATATGTATTGTATTTACATGAAAATAAACACATACGAAATTATATTCTGGTTTATATCATTAGGACCAAGGACCAAGGCATTTGGATTTCGGGGTACCTTTGAAATTAATTGCAATTACCTCCACATCATCATTAATAAAATTGAAATAAATAAGAGACAAGCAATTGCTAAAGGTAAAGGAAAAAGCAGCTTTTATCATTAGGCGCAGCAAAATCATACATTCATCTCTGAATACAATCAACATATTATTATGAGAAAAATTTAAATAGCAAACCCAACTAGGTTTCATTCATACTGGTGTGATTTTAGGACTATGATGTAAGACATAAAGTACACTAATACTAGTTTAAAGAAAAAAAAAAAAAAAAAAAAAAAGATAAAACAAATATAGAACCCAGGAAAATGGAAAAAATTGGCCAAATACAGCAGTTTTCGAGAAATTAGGAAAAGTCAGTCACCCAATTTCCTAATTAGATGACATACAATTTATTTTTGTATTATAAGAAATAATTCTGCAAGCATTTAAAATCTGCTCTTTTCTAAAGACCTGTATTGTGCATGGGTATAAATATCAGTGAATGTCCATTTCACTGATTATTAACACAGAATAGGATATACAACACTAAAAATTTAACAAACTAAACAAACGAGAACAAAATATAATACATTGCTGAACAAAATTAATCTTTGAACATAAACTAAATTTAACCTTTTACAGACAAGAATGCACTTCAATTTACATTCAAGTAATAATGGAGACAGAAACTGCAGCAAGCAATTTCACACTAAAGGTCGGTATAAGCCTAATTTACAGAACATTAAAGAAAACATTTTGGAAGCTAAATAATTATTTTCACCTTGTTATATTATTTATAAGAATAAGCATAAATATTTCTTTACTTCCATTGAAATACTTAAAAAGACTTTTTTTAAATCTCAAATACCTAATCAATTATCCTATATAGTTTCTGCATAATATGCACATGTCAAAATTTAATTCTCAAGCTTCAAGAAAGGGAATAGATAACCAAAGTTCACAAATATATTTCACCTTGTAGAGACAAAGGTGTTTTTTTTTTTTTTTTTTTTTTTAAGCAAGAGAGTTGAAAAATGAGCAACGCTCTCGCCAGCAATCGAACCATGGACTTCTGGAATACATGCCCAGCGTGAAGACTACTACACTACAAAGGCATGCTAAGAAGGCAGGAAAAATACCTTATATACTCCCCCTTATAAAGGGCGACTGGGGTTTTTAGAGGACCCAGTCGCCAAATCCTGGGTGTGGAGAATCATCATCCAACACCCTTTTAGCTCGGGTGCCACTGTAGAGACATCAGATATTGGGGGGGGGGCAAGACAGATGAAAAATGAGGAACGCCCTCTCCAGGAATCGAAAAACAGACCTCTGGAATATGCGCCCAGCGTGCAGACCACTACACTACGACGGCATGCTAAGAAGGCAGGAGAAATACACTATAACCTCCTGAAGGTATTTCTGAATCATGAAGATAACAATCATTTTGTTCAGAGTTATGTTCATAAATCTTCAATATTACTGAAGTAAAATTATCTTCTAGCAACAGACAATGCAAATCCCACTTTTATTCTGATATACCAATTCTGAAATCTCCTACAAGGGAAAACATTTTCGTTCAGAAAATGAAACTGAGGAACTTGCTCCCAAACTGGAGGTCTATACTACAACGCTTAGAAAGGGTAAATGGGAATTTCTGTTTACACCTTAAGAAACATGTTCTTACTTCTCTCTTAAACACAAACACACACACACACACACACACAAAAAAAAAAAAAAAAAAAAAAAAAAAAGAGAGAGAGAGAGAGGGAAAAGGGAATAAAATAATAAGAATGAAACCGTTCATAATCTGAAAATAAAGGAAAAACATTACATCAAATGCAATAGGTATGAAATAACTATTATTGGAATATAGATGCTCTATTTTGAGAAAATGCACATATACAGTTGTTGCTATTGCTGCTTGTGAAAATGCACATATACAGTGCGACTTCTTTAACCACATGGCAGCAACACTTACTCATATATAACAGCTGCCATTCACAAAGGGTTGGCCAATTCTACACTGCTGGCCATTAAAATTACAACACCATGAAGGAAAGCAAATACAAAAAAGATATTTATTGTGCGTAAACAGTATGGCATGAAGACAAAATGATTAACCTTTTAACTGTCATGCCCGAGATTGGTGTTCGAAAATGTCACGCCCGAGTATTTCTCGGGGTAATTTTTTTTTTTGAGTGCATCGTATTGTCATACCTGAATATATATCGGGAGATGTTTATTTCGGCTACATTTGGTTTTTCCAATTAAAAAATTTGACAATTTGCGTACTCAAATCATCAAAATAACTTGACAGTTAAAGGGTTAAATTTGTAAGCAGTTTGGGGGTGCGAAATTAGCAGAAACATCTATATGTTTCTATGATTTATAGCAGGGGTTTTCAAACGGTGGTATGCACAAGAATAGTAGGTGGTACGCAAAGAACCACAGTCTTTTTAACTATTAAATTCAAAAATTAAAATCCCAACATACTGATTGAGGTTTTTATCTAACACTCGTAAATTTATGAAATGCAATCTGAGTTTTATTCAAGAGTGGCGGTGGTAGTAGTACTCTGTAGTGGTGATACTAAAGGTTTTCAATTTTTGTTTAGGTGGTACATATTAGTCAAAAGGTTGAGAACCGCTGGTCTATTTAGTATATATTCATCTATAGTATATAGGGGGTTTACAGGGGTGACAGTATTTTAGCTGCCAACTGCCCTTACCTGGTTAGGCATGGAGTCGAAATTGGCTTGGATGACAGAAACTGGCTAAACACGGAACAATCCAAGCAGCACATCCTCCCTAGTCGCCGGACATGTCACCTCCAGATTTTTTCCTCTTTCCCAAGATCAAGAACACCTTAAAAGGACATTGAGACCATAAAACAGAATTCGACGCAGCAGCTTAAGGCCATCCCAAAGTCGGAGTTCCAGAAATGTTTCAAGGACTGGGAACATCGTTGGGCCAAGTATGTTACTGCCAATGGAGCATATTTCGAAGGATATTGACTCAAAACCTGTTTCGCATAATAAACCAGTCTCGATACTTTCTGAACAGTACTCGTATTTCCTTGTATTTACAAAAATTTAAGATAGTAAGAAGAATTTTAGAACTGTCTCTCACTCGCAAATTATGCATACTTTTTAAATCACAGGAAAGCAGTATTTGATGTAATATATATATATATATATATATATGTCACATACTTAAAACAATTCTATTATGGAATCTGAAGCAAATGAAATACTGAACACACACAAAGCATAAACTTCAAATTTTGTAACAGTAAAAATTGATAAAAAGATTAAATTAATTCTTGCAAATAATATCAATTTGTACAAATTATTCATATAAAATAAAAAACAATCAATGCATAAATTAATATATTATACTCACCAGAAGCAAAATATTCAGCCAACTGCATATGATTACTTTTACTACCCACATCAAAATCTTTCCAACATAATTTCTTTCCTTTCACTATAATACTCTTTTCTGCTCCTTCAATAGCAGACTTGGAAATAGTACTACTGTTTTCAGTTAATTCATGGGCTTTTACAGACTTCACATCAGTATTATCAATCTTATTTTTTTCAGAAGGGCAGCCAACTTTAGCATTTTTAATAGCTGGTCCAGTAATAACTTTTGGTTCATAACTGTCAGCACAGAGCTTTACCATTTCTTCATATTCAATTCCAAAACTGATCTCAGACATACTTTCAGGAGGTGAACAATTGTTCATAATAATCACAGGAGGATCTTCACTTTTCAAAATGTTATCCCCAGTAAGATCTCTGCTTTCAGCTTGTTTAAATGCATCACTGAAGGAACTAATACTACTCTGGCTGCTGTAAACAGAATCAGTCTTTACACTTGCATCCTGTACATGTGTCCCAGAAGTAAATTCGGAAATACTGGAGTCATGTGCAGGGCCAGGCAATACTGGAAATTTGTCCATTGATATTTTCTCAAGAGTACACAAACAATCAAGAATTAAGCTGTCATTCTCCACAATTTTTCGATCAGATGAAGGTATATGAGTATGGGAAGGAGGTGTAGTCAAAACATTTTTATTAGTTTGGAGGCTTGAATTATAAAAACTTGGTTTTTCTAGACTGACAACAATAGGGCGAGGAGCAACAAAGTTCTGCCCATTCTGGCTAGTGTGTGTCAAAGAAATATTATTTACAGGATCAGATGAATTTTGATCAAGCTGAGATAATCTAGAAATTACCCAGTCTGAGCTACCGGGTTGTACAATTTCATCCTTTTGCAATCTATCTTGTACAGAGTTAGTTAATGTATGTGTTATGAAACTTTGCTCAGACGATGTTTTATCATAATCTAAAGGAAGAAACCCCTGAATGCCAGTTGAAGGTGCAGACATTCGAATAACATCAGCATAAGAAGCTTGTGGAATAGAAGAAATACATGACACTTGTGAAACAGCATTAAAACTAACATTTGCATTAAGCAAAGACTGTGCATTTTCTAAATCAGAATTCTCAGCAGAAGAGTGCTCAGATGGTGGCATACTATCAGTGCAACTAGAACTTAATTTTACTTGTTCACTATGGTTATTAGAAGGTAAAGCTGGAAAAAGCATTTTATCAGTTTCATCAAGAGACTTAGAGCTTAGAGTTGAACTGGACGTAGGTGACACACGATCCCATTTTCTAGACTGTTTTCGTTGTTTTTTAATTATTGGCAACCTCTCATCTGAACAGCATTCAACTTTATATGCAGCACAAGACTCTTTAACCAAATCAGAATGCTCTAATACTGGAAGATCAACCAAGCCTGCATTATTATTAAATAAAGATGCATCAGATGACGCATATTTAATGTTACATTTTGAATTAAATTTATCATTTATAGCATGCTCACCAACTGTTGGATCAGTGCACATTTTAAGATTACTTTCTGCATTTGTGGATTTTTTATGTGTATTTTTTGAGCAATGACATTTATTATTTGCAGCAACTGCAGCAGAAACTTTGTTTCCATATGAAATATTTGATTTGCTACTAGCTTTTGAATTATAAGTTCTCTGATCTGGAAATACAATGTTTTGCTTATGCTTTGCATATCTAGGTAAGGGTATTTCATTTTGTTGATTTGGTGAGTAATTTAATACTTTGTTAAAACTAGATATATTAGGCACAGAGCAAGCAAAACTGCATAATGCTTGATGAGCATTAAATGCTAGTGCTCCATTTAAATCTGAAGTTGAAGGATCAATTTTCTCTTTTCCAATAGTGTTCACAACTATATGAGATCCAGATTTAACCTCACATTTATCACAAGGTTGTTTTAAATATGCTTTAGCATCATTACTATAAAAACCAGATTTTTTATCTACTGAATTTGATGCATTTTTTGATCTTGATATATATGATAACTTTTTTCCTCTATCAGACCTTCCATATAAATGTGCATTATTCTTAAATATATTTGGCTTAGATATACCTAATTTCTTGCTGTCATAACAATCCACGCAAGGCTTTTTGACAGCATCTTTATTTTTCTCCATTTCTTTTCATACATCATTTTTCTAGCAAAAATCTTTCATAAATGGTAGAAAACCATTATAAAATGTTAATGCAAAACAACAGTTATATTCAGATTTCACTTTTAAAAAACTGCCTATACTAAATAAAAGTTAGATGCCATATCGCAAAATATTCCTAATTAAAACCTGCTAAATGCAAGACTTGTCCACAAAAATTCTTGAATCACTACTGTTCCAAACATTCATCATGCACTTCAAATTCCTAAAAAGAAACAAAAATATTAGAAATAAAATTAAAATGAATAAAAAATATAACTCAGTAGTTAGTGAAAATCATAATAAAAAAACCCTAGAAATTCTAGCTATGGGTAATAGAAAAATAATTATAAAATAAAAAACTTTAAAAGTTGAGCTTGTCGAAGTAATCTGGAATTCAATTCATCAAACTAGTTTAACATCCCCCTTTATTTCTTAAAATTTTTCTTTAATGATCAGTGTCAGAACATAAAACCTTTATAAATACTGCAAACAATTATGTTTTTGCTTTAACTTGCAGACACTCAATTAGCACATTCAGTGCTAAAGCTGAAATGGTGCTACTGTTCACACACATGCAATGATCCTCTAATACAAATTGTATGCTTTTCAATTATTTTCTGCTGTTTTATTATTTAAATAATAACATTACATTCACATTAAAAAAAATTCACACAGGTATACTTGTAACTGGCATATGAAATAATATTTTTGTTCCTTGTATCAACTACAAGATAACACAAAACTAGATAAAAACTACTCATTCAGTGCATTTACGCAAAACTCTTGCATGCGTAATGCATTTTCCGTTACTCTTACATGAGTCGCTGAACAAGAATTTAAGCAGTCCATTTAAAACAACTTCCAAGTGAATAAACCAAAGAAAACGGTTTTGTGTTCTTATCATTTAGTTGTATCTACGTTTTGAGTGTCCTTGCGTATTAATGGAATCACCTTGATGCAATCTGGCAATTTTTTACAGATGAAAGGGTAAATGTTAGTTACTGGGCACAAGCTGGTTGCCTTTGCAGCTTTTTTCAAAAAGATTTCTGAAGTATCGATAATTATTGTAATTCTTATCAACATATGAAAGTCAACATATTTTTGCAATTTAAAATAAAAACTTTAATTTTAAAATAAGGATTACATGATACAGTCAAAAGTCGTTAATTTGGACACCCATAATCCGGAATGATCTATAATCCGGAAATCAAAGCTACAAACTTTCTGCGCATGCGTCGCGTTGTAAGTCGTAAGACTTTTACGGCTGCTAATATGCGTGTGCACATGCGCGTAATACGTTTACGCTTGCGCGTTTAATGTATAACGGACGGTATAAGCTAAGTTAAAATTATCTAATTCAGTTAATGTTGCAGATTGCGTTGTTCCTGAATCTTCGAAATGGATCCGGCTTATTATTTTTTGCAGACTGTTAGAGCAATTTTATAAAAGTAAGCTTGAACTTTCGATTATGTCAAATAGAATTTGCGATATATATTTACTAATATGTAAAGGATCTACAAAGGGAAAGTATGTTTAGAAGTCCATTAAACAAAAAGTGGAATTGCTGCAAAAAAGTGGATAAAAGCACATCCTTCGTTTCTCAAACCATTCCGAAATCTGTTTATCAATTTCACGCTGCTCTGCGGCCCGGGAGGGGGGAAACGCCGCGGCGCGCAATGAATTGGAAGTTAATCTGTCAGCACTATCCTTATCTTCAGGGCAGATGTTTTTATTTTATTTGGCTTATAATTCCTTGCTAAACGTAGTGTTTTATCTCGGTGTACTCCGTCTTTGATATGATTTAAATCAAATTCCTCGTCATTATAATTCACTTCCGATAAAGAAGAAAGTGACACAGAGGTTATTGAAAAGGAAAAACTTTAGATTGATAATTATAGCAATTATAGGACTTTAACAGCGGAATTTTGTACCTGAAGAAGAAATTATGTCTGTTTATAGAATTAAAGATAAAATATTATCACATAAAACGAAGCAACTTAAACAACTTACATAGAAAGAAATGTTTAATAAAGTAAACAAATAGTAAGCTTTTTCTTTTTTTTTTTTTTGTAAATTTTGATACCCTTTAGATCATAATTGTTCTTTATTTCATAAATTACGGTTTCATATTTTTAATTTTATAATTTCTGCATGCCATCTTACCAGATTTAAACTGATGATCTATAATCCGGAAAAATCGATAATCCGGAATTGCCGAAGTCCCGACGAGTCCGGATTAACGACTTTTGACTGTATATTAAAAAAATAAAACACGTTCATCATCACATCATTCTTTATTTTTATTTATTTCTTTTTTTTGGGGGGGGGTCTATACCTTGTGTACACAGTAATCTGTTTTCCCCTTAAAAAAAAAAATTTCCATGTTTGTGTCTAGTGAAAAGTAGAGAAAATAAAGGGAAGATAAACATGTTAAGATTTTAGTATTAAAAGTAAACATTCAAGTATTATGTTTTCATTGTTCTTCCAAAAAGTAAGAAATTCATTGCAAACTTTCTGTAAAATACATCATTATGTGTTGACACCAAGGAGACATTTTTTCATTCTGTCACATATTTTCGAATCTTCTAGAATCGTGGGTCTATAAATCTTGCCCTCAAATTCTTCTAAACTTTCCAAGCTGCAATGTCTAAAATCCTATAGAAACATTATCCTTACCATTTCTGTAACAGCAAAAAGACAGAAATACTTTGGAAAAAAAAGGGGGGAGAAAGTATAAAATTAATTACATAGAGAAAATTGATGCACATTCTGAGAGTTTTGAATATTCCGAGACAATTTACATGGGAAAAACTCTTACTATGAAAAAATTAAAAAATAAGACATTTTTAATTAATTACATAGCTAATTTTGCTTTTGCTAAGAGCTGTTTTGTAAATTGTGCTTTATAGTATTATACCTTATTTTTCAGATTCAAAATAATGTATAATAAGTTGCCAAACTGAAACTTTGTAATATGACAGCGAAAAAAATATTTATTTAAATTTTTAATGTTATTTTTTAAATATAATTTCAATATAATTACCATTATTTTAATGAAATTTATCACTGTTACGATGTTTTAAAAAAATCGTCGAAAAATTCTCAGATCTCGGAATTAAAAAGTTTCTATAGAAACTAATCTTAAAGTCGCAAAATTTAGAACTGTTTAATAAAAGAATTCACATCCCCAAAAGCGAAAAGTTGTTTAAGAGTTCTTTATTAGAAAAAATGAATTTTGAAATGCTTATGTTTCACTTCTTGCTTAGAAACTTGAGTATCCCATGATTTATATTAGAAATAGAAACAAATTAAAACTCATGAACCCATTCAAAAGATAACCATATATACGGCAGTGAATCGCCAAATGTATTCCTCCAAAATGCTAATTCACACTCAAAATGGCAGTCGTAAAAAGACAGAAATTTCAGATGATTAAAATTAAGGACCTTCTGCTGGTTTTGGCCAAAATTAAGGAATTTTAAGGACCAAAAATCGATTCCAAAAAATCTAAGGACTTTTAAGGACCGTATGAACCCTGTTTTACTGTGGAGTATAAAATACAATGATTATGCACACTGCTTTCCAGTTTTGCAGAGATTTTTTGCTCTTGATGAAGCGGTTCCTGTTCGTCATCGAAATCGATCCAGATCTAGCCATAAATATACACCAAAATCAAGGTTGTTGTGTTACTAATTTTATGTTTCACTAGGCGTGTTTCTCTTCTGTTTTCATCTTCTAAGAAATCTAGGTAATGCATCGTTGATTTTGAGGTGTGATGCTAAATGTGTCTAATACCCAAGAAATCACAATACAGATATAATATGAGCACTAACACCCCACCACAAGAGCTCTGACCTTGCACTCAATACCAGCACTGGATGACAGTTCAAATATATTGAATCCATACAAATCAAAATCCTTATTATATCGGAGCATTCTCTGTGGATAATCAGCTTGTAAAGATTGTGCCCTTCAGAATGTTCAGATATATAACTCTCTCCTTCTTTCAACTATTATATACCCAAGGACAGTCTCCTTCAATTCTTCTCTTGTTAAATGTGGAAAATATGTCAAACTATTATCTGTCATTTCTTGCCAGATAACTGCTTTTTTTAATTGCCTTTTATCATTTACTCATTTTTGTAAATCATTTGATTGAGGTGATAATGCTAACATCCTTTCCGCAATTACTCTACTACTTTGAAATTTTTAAGTTTTAAATATTTTAATGCTTCCTTATTTTTGAAGTATTTCAAATCATCTACTGTTTCGGCAACTTTACAATAATAACTGTAATATTTAGGCATTTTATAATGTAAGATTTCTGTTTAAACAAAACATAATTGTTCTAATGAACAAATAACTGTCAGGAACCAAGTAAACACAGAGAAAAATAAAAATCAACCAAACTACCTTCATTTTACCTATAAGTTTCCTCATATGATTCCAAGTGAATTTCATATAAGCTTGTTCTTCACTATAAGCACAAATGAATACCATTTATTTTTATATGTACTAAAGATTTGAAGAGGTGGAATGCTGTTTAGCAGACTTATTACGGGAAGTGGCGATAACCGAACCAAGATTGGCAACCTTTCTCAAAATGGGGGCAGGCAGAGCTTTTTGATGATGATGTCACTTGAGACATCAGGCATGCGCATTACGTCACTGATGGTTTAACCAATTAAGGAAGACTGGTGACGTCAAAGATCACTGTCAGACCCCACTGCTTTTAATGGATTCAGCAATTTTATTTTTATGCTGTTCTAACGCAAGTTGAACTATTTCTGTTCTCCACATTTTTATAATATAATTCCCATCCCCCGAGATGGCTTTCAGATTGAATCAAGTGAAAGTGGGTTTGATTACTCCTGAGTATAAGTGTTCAAAGTGTGGATATAGTATGCATTTGTGCAAAAGACCTGGAACGACTGATGGTTTTGAGCGGCTTGTCAGAAGTAAACAAGAGTGAATGTGCATGATGTTTGTCGGAGTCTAAGAAAAGGTTCCTGGTTTAACCAGAGCCATTTCAGTACTTGCAACATTTTAAGGATTATGAAGAATTGGTTTGGAAGGTGTACAAACCAAGAATTATCAAGATCTACATAACGACTGGAAAACATTAGAGCTAGTCAAAAATTTCTAGTTTTTATTCAGTCTACATTTCTTACGTTGGTACTTTTCCGTTTCGCCGGCGCAAATCTCGCCAAGCACACTTTATTA